CTTTCCTAAGATAATTTTTTTTTTCTATGGTTGAACCGAAAACCGAGCACCTAGGATAATCTTACCGAGGGTAAAGATAACCTAAGATAATTGCACCTTGGGTAAAATATGCCTTAGAAAATCTTAACCCCCTCTCAGTAATATTTTCCGGGAGTATGTTTGACTGGAACACCGGATTTACACGACGCGAATCTGATGCGCGAGTCAAGATTCGACATGTTTTGTCCTATCTGAATTTATAACAAACGGCAATAAAGGCCGTTCCAGTAATCATTGATTTTAGATAGTTTGATAGCAGATTTTATAGCTTAATATAATCTAGAATATTAAGCGTGTTCCAGTACAGTTGCAACCAAAGACGTATATAGAAATTTGGCGTCCGGGTGCTAACGTTTTTTCGCCCCCCCCCCAACAAAAATTATTTAACTTTTTCCACCTACTAAGCGCGTCAGAGCTTACCTTCCACCTTCCAGTAACCACCCGTAGGCCGTACAACAGCCTTTACGTTATCGTTATATTTTCAAGCACTTTATAACTTATTTGTTACATTTTTGTTTTCACTTTTTGTATTCTCTAGTGGAACCAATTCCCATTGATTATTTAATCAAAAATTTCCATTAAACAATTTTTAGTTGTTAGAAAAAGAAAGCACAGTTTAAACTTTAAACATTATGTTATCCTTATAAATTAGTCACTAATATAAAATATATTTATTTATTATTTATTATTATTACATAACAATATTTAAAATTTACATATTTTTTTTACGAGTTTTAAAGGAACTATACTCATTGATTATGTCATCATACTGTAAACTTTTTGTGATGTCTCATTCAATATTTAATATAGCCATTTAGTTCATCGGTCATTCTCGACCGCAAGTAACTTATTTACGTTTTGAAGGAGAGGTTTTTCGTCGACAATTTTTGCCCTTCTTCCATGAATATTTCCAATCTTAGAATATTATCTTAAAAAAAAAAAAAATTAACCAATTTATATTATTGTTCATCAACATGAAATGGACGGTGTAAAAATATGATGCCGCCCGAGACGATCGCCCCCTCTAGCCCCATCCCCCTTAAATACGTCACTGGTTGCAACCATTATTAGCTCAACAAAAATTGTGTCGTTGTGTATTTTTCGAAGTGTACATTTTTGAATAAATATGGAATTTATATTGAGTAAAAAGTCTAAACAATTAATACCAATAGATGGATTTGTTTCCATAAAATGCTAGCAAACGATATCCAATGCTGGACTTTTGGCAAGAGTAGCTGTAAGTGTTTTTTTAAAAACAATTTTAATGATAAGATTATAGGAAGCAAAACAAATCATAACCATGACAAAATTATAATGACCCGGGAATCAACTCAACGATATCGGTGCAGGTAAACAGGTATCCGGGAATCAACTCGTACGCAGCCGGCTACGGCACTGTTGGTGGTGTAGTGTCCTCATAAGTATAATAAATCTTAAGAACATATAATATCCAACTCATTTTCGTTATTATGTTGCAAGACTAAACAATGATAGTTAGTCATGACTTATGATTTACTCTTCAGTAAAATGTTCATGGATTGATAAATTATATAATTATTATTGCTTCAATAACAGACATCCATTAAAATTATTATAAAAAGTATAAAATATTAATTTGATATTAATCATAATATAATCTAATAATTAATATTTGCCGCGAATTTTAAACGGGCCAATGAAAGCGGTGTATAAAAGACAAGTTCTGTAGTTGTAGAGGGTTTGATAATACACGACCCGGGATGGTGTAATTTTTCTTTTTTTAAAAGAATTGGTAACCTATAAATAATACACTACACATTTGAATGGGACACTAAAAATAAACCATTTCGTGAATAATTAATATCTAATTTTAAACCTCATTTAAAATTGTTGATTTCTATAAACAATAGTCGGTACTACGTGAAATCAAAAATTAAGAAGGTATTTATATTATATTTTTTGTTGATAACAGTTTTTCAAAAAGTAATTATAATTAATGATTTTAATACGTATAAATATATATTTTTAAAAACTTATAACTAATAAAAGTTTATCGCAAGGTTGAAACGTATAAAACGCATAATATAAAACAAGCAGTTTTATTCGTTTTATACTGTACAATAATAAAACCCTTATAAACAAAAAACTATTTATAATTTAAACACCATAAAATAAGAATATATAAATTATAAATAAACAATAGTGGTGCTATTAATCTATTGTTAACAATTACCATTATTTTATCGCGGAAGTATTTATAGTAAATTCATTGTACTTGGGATATTTGTAACAATTTTAATATTTTATATTAATAGATTGTAAACGAAAAATTATATTTAAAATATATTTTTACTATGTATAAAAATTAAAAACCTTGCTTAATATCTGACATAATAAGATCTGTTATAATTAAATAATTAAAAAAATACAAATTACTACCAAAATGTTTCATTTATATTAAATTTAATTTATATGTTTTTTATATTCATATATTTGTTTTATACAAATTTCAATTAAATTTATTTTCAAATATAATTATTAGTAGATTGTGTAATTTATTACATTAAACTATATAATGGATAATCAATGATATTATATAATTGTTGGAAATTGTTCAAATTGAATCCCCAATCATAATGGCTAATTTTTCTTATTTATATTTAATATTTTCAATTATTTCCACAAAACGAATCATATACTCATATATTGTATGAGAGATGGCTTACTGCCTATTTTTCTTTTATCAATTTTTACAAACAAATATTATTTTATTGCAATCAATTATGTATATTTTGACTAATTGGTGACATGGCGTATATTGTAGGTAGGAATTAAAGAAAATACAGTTTTCGATATTTTGTTATTTAAAATTTTTGGTGTAAAACCGGGTTCACATTACACCATGCTGTGTCGTGTCTTCTAAAATAATTATCTCTGATTGGCTGAACCATATTGTTACATCAAGGTATACTGTATAATAAATCACAAGTTACCTCACTAACCATAAGATACCGTGAAGTTGATTTTATCCAACTTTTGAGCGTGTGATTACCAATTTAATAGTAATAATTTAATATTCTATGATAACATTATTCATAATAACAAAGGGTTCGGAAGGTGTTGCATATGCCCGATTTTATTGGGCTATCAATTCATTGCTAAGTAACCTTGAAATTATTTTCATGAAACTATGAAAAACCTAATGGGAACATTTTGAAAGAACATTTTAAATTTCAAGCTATTTATTTTATTTTATTTTATCTTATATATATATATATTCCTAAAAATTATGTTTAGCATAGTATAATATACTACCAACATTTGTACTGTTATGTACGAGTATATTTAATAAAACATCTTTATGAACATTTTTGCGTTAAAAAAAATTAAGCGCATATTTTTGAAGCATATTTGTACTTTTTTTAAGCGCATAAGTGAATGCATATTTAGTACTTTTTAAGTGCATTAAGTTTCGAGCCCTAATAATAATATAATAAATACTGTTTACTATATAATTTAATATTCATTAGTTATTATTTGTTGAAACTTATGAAAATATTTCATATTTAATAAAAAAACTCCGAAAATATGTAACCAAAATTTGATAGCCTCACCATTAGATATATATTGGTATCACACATTTTCAAAGCACACGGCTTGGTAAAATACACGTCACGGTGTAGTGTGAACCAGGCTTTATCGAGGTTTTACTGTATCACTATTTGTTCCACAACCAAAAATGTTATGATTTAAGAAAATAAATAAAAATTGATAACCGTGATCAAATTGACATGTTATTGAATTTATTATCATATTATAATGATAAACTAGTAATTTACATTCTTAAATATTTATATATTACATTTTTTAAATAAATCAATGTATTATATTTAAAAAAAATACGAGCCATGGGGGGGGGTGAATTCCCCCTTCGCCTCCCCTCAAATACGCTCTTGCGGTTAATACCTTTTCGGTGACACTTGCGGTCACTACTTTATTTTTTTTGCGCGTATACACTGGT